CTTCATTTTAGCCATTTTCCGTTCTTTTTTCCAATTCTTCTTTGAAATATGAACTTTTCCTAATAAAAGCAATAAATAAGAAATTAGGTACTAATCCGTTCAAAAAATAACAAAATATCATCATTTAGGATTCCAAATAAGTGTAGAAACTACACTTATCACTCCTTGATGTTTTGACTTCATTTGTTTGCTTCCATAAAAATTATGTGGACTCTGGAGACTGAGAGATTAGGGATGGCTTACGTTGCTCTGGTTTCTCTTATGCAGACTCTTGAGCTAGTTAATTAAATCCCTACTCACCAACATTTAGTTTTGGTTACTACTTGCTCACCCAAAAATAAAAGGTTACTAGTTGCTCACTCACCATTACAAAAAGTTATCCATCCATCACCCAATTGTTTCCATCCATCTATGTGGACAAAAAATTATACATGGCGAATGAAAATCTTATGTGTTCACTAACTCCGTTAATTATTGACACCTGGACATTCAACTCACATTTTCCCTTCATTTAATTGAACTCACGTTTTCCCCTTCAATTTTTCATTAATTCATTCCCAATTCTTGCCCTGATTGTGAACCCATTTCTTTTCCCCTACAAATCGATTTCTATCAAAATTAGGAAAAAATCCCTCCTTCCAAACAAATCTTCCCAAGCAAAAAAGGTATCAAAATCACTTGAAATCACCCTCAAATTGAAACTACTTTGCTTGGGTAGATCCACCCGTGCATCCACGCTTTCAGTGACCCATAATTCATCTATTCATTCTGGCTAGCCACTATGCTCAATAGATCGTGAGAAGCATCTCACTCATCAAGAGCAAGTTCGATTCCATGGTCGAAACTTTTCCCGCAAGCATCTTCTGCCTTTGGTTTGCTACATTATGAAGCTCCAAATGAGATGGATTTTGTAGGATTTTTGATTATTGAAATTTCAAATAAAGAATTGGAAATTGTTGGAAAAATGACTAGGTTGTTGTGGGTTTTTGAATATGTAGTTGGTATGTTGGTGGTTTTGTATGTTGTATATTGACGGTGTAGGAATGTTAGTGATGTTCTGTTTCAGCTCAATGGTTGTAATGGTAAGTGTATTAGTGTTGATGGTTGTGGAATCATAATAAGAAACTTGATGTATTTTATAGTTTCAAATTGAATGGGTTCCTTTTTGTTCATCTTAATTACATTTATGTTGGTTAATGCCATTTTACAAGGAAGCAAAATGTATAATTAGTTTGTGAAAATAGTATTTTGGCAGGAAATTACATCAATGCATCAATGTTAATGCTGAAAATTACATCAGTACATCAGTGCATCAAAAATGAATGGCCATGGAGATTATTTTTTGAATATGTAGTTGGTATGCTGAATTTTTACTAATTTACAGCAATGGAGACATGCACCAGAACACACAAAATCTGAATGGCCATTTAAATTTCTACACAAAAATGCCACCACAAGAAATTGACAGCACTGGTTTCACAGAATATAAATTTTGATAGCACTGGTTTGTAATCTGGGGTTTTATAAGCAACACCAAAATATTGACATAATATAAAATTTTAGTCTACCATATATTACGCATAATGTCATTCATCTGTACATCAACAAAACATAATTGGCAGTCAGGCACGCAAAAACAAAAACAAAAATTAAATTCAAAACATAGTTAGCGCCTTCATAACCTACATTATATCCACTAGACACTAATGTACTACTGAGTTCCTGATTTTTTCTTGACTTTTAGTGGCGCATACGGAACTAATCCCCGAACAACCCTTTTGTTTTTCATTATGGCTGTCCTCTTTTTTGTTTTTTCCTGATTCTGTATTTCTTGCAAGTCTTCCATAATATTTGTAGGGCAGCTTTCTCTGTTGCTGGAATATATGGCTCACTTTGTGGAGGACCGTCATTGGCAAATTGTGCAACACCAGTTAAACCAATTCCAGACGTTGGCATGAATTGAAAATTAAATTGTGGTTCTACCGGTTGCACTCCAGACACAAGCACCCTAGAAGGCCTTCTAGGCACTAGTTTGGCCTGAAAAATGGGTCAAAAGACTCAAAACAAATTAGTTATAATACCTACTAATTATATGACATTGTGGTAGATTTGATTACCTTTGTGGTTTCACTTCGGAAGTGAGTTGAACTTTTTTGAAGTATATCCCCATAAGGCCATTCCTATGACGAACACATAAGCGTAATACATTCAGATTTTAAATTTTACCAGACATAAGAAAACACAATACAAACTCCATATATGAACAAACCTCATGTGGTGCTTCTGCTTTGTCGTGGTACCTTTTGTTATGTCTTGTTAAACCACAACACTACAAGTAATCACCATGGTACCCCTCTTATTCAACTTTGCTTTAGAACCAGAACGAGATATGACACCTTCTTTTTCTTGCCTTTGTATCTTCTTTTGTTTTCTTCCCTTCTTGGGAACATACCAATTTGGTGGTTTGATAGGGATAGCATCTACTCGAGGCCATAACTTTGTCCCATTTATAGGGTTTATAATATTCTCATAACAACTCATATATGTAGTCAATCTATAACACTCATGCACGTACCTCCAAGGCTCATCCCTTCTGTCTGTAATAGCAGCAACTGCATGAGCACAAGGAATCCCTAATAAATCCTATCTCCTACATGCACAAGTCTTATTTTCTAGATCAACAACAAATTCCCCACTAGAACATTGAACATAAGACGGTGCCCTACCAAACCAGTCCACCTCACAGCCCTCGGCTAACTCAATACTTTTGACAAGTTTTTGTTGCACTTTAGGACATAAAGGCCCTATTACTCTTTTCATCTTATCTCTTCTTGCTCGTATTCTCTTCATGAAGCTTATATGCAAATCAATCAACATTGTCAATATAAATTTTTCCCTATCTCCCAACAACACATTGTTGAACATTTTACATAAATTGTTCAAAAGTATGTCACTCTTTACCTTCGTTAAAAAATAAGCCTTGCTCTATTCACTTGGATGTCTTTACTTTAACCAATTAAATGTTGTAGGACTTTCCTTCTAAATCTCACCCATCCAAAACAACCAATCGGGCACCGTTGTCAACCTTGCAGCCTTGTATAAGTATTCCTTTAGCACCAAACTCTTAAAATCAATTTTGAAGAAATTAGTGTACATGTGTCTAACACAAAAATGGTGTTCAGCTTTAGGGTACAAGTCATTTATAACATTTTGTAAACCCTTCTGCCTATTAGTCATAAAGGTCCATTCATTACTATTCACAATCTTCAAATCTTCGCCTAAAAGTTGTATAAACCACCTCCAAGTAATAGCGTTCTCCCTCTCCACTACTACATATGCTACTGGATAAATGCAATCATTAGCATCTAACCCCACTACCACAAGCATCTACCTTCCAAATGACCCTTCCAAGAAACACCCATCCAACCCGAGAAGTTGCCTGCAGCCCACTAAAAACCCTCTCTTGCAAGATTCTAAGCAAATATAAATACCTTGAAACTTTGAAAGATGCATAGCAACGATGCATTTAGACCCGAGATTGGTTCTCAAAATTTCAGCAGCAAAAGACCTAAGCAATCCAAACTAGTGCTCATCAGAGCCTTTTATCATTACCCTCGCATATCTTCTAGCTCTCCATGTTGTAACCTTATTAATTGTCAATTTGAGATCATCCTTTACAGCCTTTATAATAAGCTTAGACTTCCAATCAGGGTCAACTTTGAAGGTTTCTAAATACCTCTTTGCTATGTATTTGGCAGTACAATGTCTATTTGTTTTGTCCGTAACGTATGTATGCTCAGAGTTTTTAGATTTTATCTGCATGCATCTTTTCTTCTTATTCCATGAAGCCCAAATCCTCCATGTACAACCTAATTTGCAGATGGCTTGGGCTCTAAACTCATCATTAGGCCAGAATTTAAAATTGCATCTAGTAGCTACACCATGACTCCTTATAGGTTGCCTAAACTTCTCAATAATTTTAAACTCTTTTCCTACCCCCAATTGTGGATTGAACTTCTCCTTTTCGACATCATAAGTAGGGAAATTAAAAGTATTTTCTTCATTAGAAGAACAGTCGGTGTGCAACTCCTCCTCACTTGGACAATAACCATTTTATGATTCTAATTTTTCATCCCTAGCAGCTAAAAGATCAATGATATGATCTTCATTCAATCCAATTGGTATTCGTTCATTTTCATTCTTATCATAATGAAAATCATCATCATTAACATCATCTTCTGAATCAGTCAACTTGCATTCCTCAGGTACCACTTCATCTTCTTCAACTATATTATCTACAAATAAAAACATGTAAATGAACTTGTCACCAAACATTATGTAACCTGAGAAAATTTCATGAGAAAAAGGTGAAAATTTCCTCAGGTCCTTAAATTGTATATTGAAAATGAATCCCAAATCCTCAATTAATACTTTTGTAAATGAACATGGAATAATGGATGACAGGCTTATGGAGTAGGAAAGGTTAAGAAAGTGCCAAAAGAATACAATAAAGCAAGTGGTCCATCTTCAAAGAAGGTAGTATAACTAATATAAACAACATTGCAATGGATATTATAGATTTCATTAGAAAAGGTTAAAAAAATAACCTGCTTGTGGTCCCTCTTCTACTTCCACCAATGGTGTTTCTTCATCAAAATGATAGTTGCCTACTGTTTGAGGACATGGTGGGTTGCTCATGTTCCTCATTATCAAGACACGAGTTTGACACATCAATTTCACCATTTTTTTTTTGTTTTCATTGTATGTATCTAGGGTTCTTATAACATTAATGGGTTTTCAATTTGGGGATCGATTTGGAATAATTTTCATTAATGCTCAACAATAAAAATCTTCATGGATGCAATTTCTTGGAATGGGTTTTGATTATGCAATTGTACAGAAGATTGGGGAGAACTTTTTTTGTGGGGAAGAAAGAATTGTTGTGTCGTTCAATTTATTTTGGAGATTTAAATAAATAGTGAGAAAGTGTTATTAATGAAATGGGTAAATCCAACCTATCAAATTTTAATGGTGTTAGTAGCCACGTAAGAAATCTATTTGCCACATAGACATAATTGTTGAGTTGGATGGATGGAGATGAAATGAGTGATGGATGAGTAATTTTTTTCAAAAGTGGGTGAGCAGTCAGTAACCTTTTAAAAGTGGGGAGCAAGTAGTAACCGGGAGTAAATGTTAGTAATTGATGATTTAATTAACTCCTCTTGAGCGATCATCAATACAGATGGAGTTCTGATTCCTTCTAAGCAAGCGCTTGTACCTCTCTTAGAAAAGCTCGATTTATTACTGGTTTTTCTCGAAGAATCTTCCCAAAATAGCAGCGAAGAAGTGAAATCACTGGAAAGAAGAATCAGACATGCGGCTTATCATGCAGAAGATATAATAGAAGGCCGCAATTTTCCATCACGATCTGAAAGTATGATGTCTGACATCGAACTTCAGGCAGACTTGCAGAAAATAAGTACAGAAATTGATTCCATCGTGGAAGAGGCGGGTAAGATTATAGACTTAGAGAAAAGAATAACAGAAATTGATACCCACGTGGAAGAGGCAGTGAAGATTAATGATGGGAGTGGTGAACAAAATCTGCACACGAGGAAATTTTCGCAATCAAAACCTGCTCCTGGTGGTCAGAATAGTGTAGTTGGATTTGTTGAATACTTGAAGAAGGTAAAGGATCGACTCTGTAACGAAGAACAACCTCAATTCCAAATTATTCCCATTGTTGGAATGGGAGGAAGTGGTAAGACTACTCTCGCTTTGAGTATTTTTGATGATTCATATGTCAAGTATTACTTTGATATTCGTGCTTGGGTGACACTGTCTCAACAATATCATGTTCAGAACGATCTTCTAAGTCTTCTAGACAATATTGTTGTTGTTACTGATGACATTTGCAAAGTGCGTGATGAACAATTAAAAGACTATATCCACAAAAATCTGAAATGCAAGAGATACCTAATTGTAGTTGATGATGTGTGGACTAAGAAGGCTTGGAATGAAATACAAATGTTGTTTCCAAATGGCAACAATGGAAGCCGAATCATATTGACAACGAGGCTATCAGATGTGGCTGATTATGTTGGCTCATCTAACACTTGTCACCAGATGCATTTTTTAAATGAAGAAGAAGTTGGAATTTATTTCTCGCTAAGGTGTTTGGAAAAGAAAATTGCCCACTTGAGTTTGTGGACGTTGGAATGAGAATAGCGAAAAATTGTCAAGGGCTTCCATTACTGATTGTCGTTATTGGTGGATTCCTCTCAAAGGTCAATAAGACACAAGATTACTGGAAGTATGTTGCAGAAAACTTAAGTTCAATTATCGCAGAAAAAGATAATTGCTCAGAGATACTAACTCTAAGTTACAGCCACTTGTCTCCTCATTTAAAAGCATGTTTTCTTTATATGGGAGTTTTTCCAGAAAACTATGAGATTCCCATCTCTAGACTCATCAAATTATAGGTTGCTGAGGGATTTGTAAAACCACATGAACTTAAATGCTTGGAAGAGGTTGCAGGGCAATACCTCGTGGATCTTATTGACAGACATCTTATTTGGTTCATCAAAAAGGGTCTATTAATGGGAAAATTAAAACCTGCAGCATGCATGATCTTTTGAGACAGCTCTGCGTGAGGATGGCTCGTGAGGAAAATATTCTATGTGTCAAGAACAGATATATGCGCGCCTTTCTAGAAGATGGAAGTTACAAGCGTCGTCTGAGTATTCACGATGATGCTTCATACAGTCTGAACGACGAGGACTTCATAATGCAATCAATGTATCTTGTACGTTCTTTTATATATACTGGTTTGGATGATACCCGATTGCATTCTTTTTATTATTTTTGTTATCTATTGCTGAGGGTATTGGATACGGTGGGAGTAGAGCTTGTTAGATGCTCTGAGGAAATACTGCAACTAGTTAACTTGAGGTATATTGCTATCATGTGTCACATATCTATCACCAGTAATGCTGAGATTCCTCCTCCTATTTCCTTGCTTAGGAATCTGCATACTTTAATAATTGTTGACCCATCAGGAATTACAATCAAACTACCAGTGGAAATTTGGAATATGCCACAGTTGAGGCATCTCAAATTCTCTCGAGTTTTCCAGCCTCCTCCAATTATTCTCCCAATTGAAAGAGAACAATGTTTCGTTCTAAAAAAGCTGGATACACTTTGAATGGTAGAAGATTTAGGGTATACAAGACAAGTCCTTGAAACTATTCCAAATGCAAAAAAATTGGGTATTCATTATTGTCATTCTTTTATGTGGTGTCTCGGTGATTTTGCCCATCTCCAAAAACTTGAAACACTAGAATTTCTCTTTGAATCACCTGCAACTTCCACTTTCCGAAAGAACATCACTTTTCCATTAAGTCTCAAAAAGATAACTATGGAACGTGCTAGATTTCGTTGGGAAGATATGACGATTTTTGGTTCACTTCCCAATCTTGAAGTGCTAAAATTGCGAGATTTTGCCTTTCAAGGCCGGGAGTGGGTGCCAACTGAAGGAAAATTTCCCAAACTAACATTCTTGGTAATTTGGGAGACAAATTTGGAACAATGGAGGGCTGACGACGCCCCATTTTCCTAGACTTGAGCACCTAATCCTCGGGAATTGCCTGAAACAAGCAGAGCCTTTTGGTATTGGAGAAATACTTACATTTGAAATAATTGAGATAGATGATTCCAATCCTTCTGCTATGAAATCAGCAAATGATATACTTGAGGTCCGACAGAGCCAGGGATATGATGGCCTTCAAGTTCTTATCCATCCAATGAAAGAATGATTCTATCTATCAAAATTCGGGGTAAATCAATTCCTCATCCTACATATATTTATGTTACTTTCTTAAGATTTTGTTACATCAGGGAAAAAATATTGATCTTCATTGCCAACAGCTCTAGCAAGATGAGTCAGGTCTCTTCCATACAAGGAAAACCAAACTTGATCATTTAAAGGTAAATAAATTTCTCATCCTATATGTGTATGTTACTTTCTTAATTTTTAGTTACACGAAGAAAATTATTGACGAACCTGCCAATAGATCAAAAAAGAAGAGTTAGATGATTTATTGCCCAATGTCATGGCTAGTACCCAACCTCTATGTATGAGGTAAATCAATTCCTCATCCTGTATTTCTCTGTTATTTCCTAGATTTTGGATATAAATCTATTAATACCAATATATCCAGGAAGTTGAGTCAGATGGCTTGTTCCCCATTGTCGTGGACAATTCTCAACCTTCTACGCCCCGGGAGAATGATGAGGTTCGTATGGGAGAACAGATGCTTGTGTACATGGAACGTTTGTATTGTTGATGTTCTAAGAAATTGGCATAAATTTCGCATACGGTGTCCGTTTTGGGCCCATAACCCCATTTCAAAAAGCTCGCGACGATTCTAAATGAACCCATCGTTTCGCCGTGACGTATGATGGATTTTGGCAATTTGAATTTGTTTACTAAGTCAAAACAGCATTTAAAGTTTCTTGGTTTGTTATTTTCAATATTTCTTATTTTCGTTTTACAGCCCAGCCCATTAACGGACTACTGCCCAGTAGGTTATTTGTTCTTTTCGCATTTAAGGCTTAGAAAATGCCTCCTAGGTTTTCTTTGGTTGTTCTTGAAATAAGAAAAGTGCTGATTTCTTGAGTTCAATCTATTTGTGTTATTGTTATTGCGTGGTTGTAGATTCGATCTACATCATTTGGTATCAGAGCATGGTTCGTGGAGGAGGACGAGCTGGTCGTGGTGGCTAGATTGATGAAGTTACAGATCTGCGTAACCAAGTCATGGCGTTGACAGTTCGACTTAATGGTGCAGAACGGAACACCTCCTGTTTCCTAACGTTGTGTCCCAACAAGTGATGGGGAAGGAGGATATGAATCAAGTGAGAGGCCTGATGAGGAGACCTTATCGGAGGCACGTGGAAATCGCGTTCAGGAGCCTCGTATGCCATAACAGGACGGGTTCCAGTGTTGGGAATCCAGAATCAAGGTTGATACACCTGAGTTTCACGGTGGGATCGAGGTGGATGAATTCCTCGATTGGCTAGCAATAGTAGAGGAGATTTTAGATTACAAAGAAGTTCCCGACAATAAGAGGGTACCTTTGGTGGCGACTCGTTTATGCGGTCGCGCTGCTGCTTGGTGGCAGCAACTGAAGCAGAATCAGAGCTGTCAGGGTAAGGCGAAAATTCAGTCGTGGGAAAAAATGAAGAAACAGTTGAAGGCAGCATTTCTTCTCTTTAACTATGCCAGGACCTTGCATCAATGCTTACAGAATTTAAGGCAAGGTGGCTGTTCTGTAGATGTGTATTCTACAAAGTTTTACCAATTAATAGTTCGAAATGATGTGGGAGAATCAGAAGACCAGTTGGTGGCGCGCTACATTGGTGGACTACAGTTGAACTTCCAGGATGTTCTTAATATGTTTTTGCCAGTGTCTGTTTCAGAGGCTCATCAGCGTGCACTTCAAGCTGAAAATCAACAACTACGCCGTTCTGTAGTTGGCATTTTTAGCGATCCATCTGGAGGTGGGTGTCGACCATTTGCCCCAAATCCCACATCTAGTCCGTCCCAATCCTCTACATCTGGGGATCGAGGTGCTGATCGGAACACTCGGCCAGCGGCCCCTCCAACCGCTAGTCTGGGTGGCTGGGCTCCTTCTAGTGGATGAGGGCGTGGTAGTCATGTTTTAGGTGTGGTGGTTTTGGTCATTTGAGGAAGGACGGTCCATCCCAAGGATAGTTACGCTCAGGCTTATTCGTCGGAGGGGCAACACAAACCGATGTTGTTCATGTGGTAGATGAAGAAGAAGAGACCGAAGTTGTGCATACAGGTGACACGGGGCCTCTTTTGGTGGTACGGTGGACGTGCGTTATGCCTAAGGGTCGTCTGAGGACCTACAGCGAAACAATATTTTTCTATACACATGTACCATTGGAGAAAAGGTTTGTAGGTTCATCATTGATTCGGCAGTTGTGAAAATGTGGTTTCTGAAGCCCACTGTGCAGAAGCTACAGTTAAACACCAAACCTCACCCTGCTCCTTATAGCTTGGCATGGTTGAGACATGGTAAAAAAATTTATGTTACTAGACGTGTGTTGGTATCTTTTTCTACTGGCAGTGTGTATCGTGATAATGTTTGGTGTGATGTGGTGCCTATGGACGTGTGTCATCTATTGTTGGGTCGTCCCTGCAGTTTGATAGGGATGTGTGTCATGAAAGGCGTTGGAATGCATACACGTTCACCTTTTCCGATAAAAAGATTGTGCTACTACCTTCCAAAGATACTCATTGTATGTCTTCAGCAGGGGACAGTAGCAATCTACTTTCTAGGTCCTTGTTTGTGTGTGAGATGTTGGTGGAAGGTGTTGTATTAGTGTTAGTGGGAACTGGGACGACGGGAGTGTCGACAGTTCCTATGGCAGTCGAGAGGGCGACTCTTCACCCCAAAGATGCCGCCTTGGTGTCTGAATTCCACGATGTGTTCCCAGATGACCTTTCACAAGGTCTTCCACCTTTGTGGGACATACAACATCAGATTGATTTAGTACTAAGCACGTCGCTACCTACCTGCCCATATTATCGAATGGGCCCAGTAGAACATGAAGAGTTGAGGAAACAAGTAGAGGAGTTGGTGCACAGGGGTTACATTAGAGAAAGCCTCAGCCCGTGTGCAGTCCCCACACTTTTAGTGCCAAAGAAATATGGGAGTTATTGGATGTGTATAGACAGCAGAGCCATCAATAAAATAACAGTTCATTACCACTTTTCGATACCGAGATTAGATAAGTTACTTGATCAATTGGCTAGAGCAACAGTATTTACCAAGCTGGACTTGAAAGGTGGTTACCATCAGATCAGAGTCCACCCTTGTGATGAGTAGAAGACAGCATTTAAGGCAAGGGAGGGATTGTTCGAGTGGCTAGTTATACCTTTAGGATCATCCAATGCACCGAGCATGTTCATGCAGGTGATGAACCAAGCACTCCGATCATTTATTGGTAAGTGTGTTGTTGTATACTTTGATGACATATTAGTGTACAGTAGATCGGAAGAGTCTCATGGTGAGCATCTAAGGGAAGTCCTTATTGTTCTGCGTAAGGAGCAATTCTTTGTAGTCCCAAAAAAGAGTTCATTCTATACCGACAGTGTTTTGTTTTTGGGGTATGTTGTGTCAGCCAGTGGGGTGA